TCAAGTTCACAAAGTTTTTTGGCTGACCAATACCTATGTTATGATAAATCAGTTTTTGGTATTGTTCTGAGCATATAAGGAAATGTGCATGAAGCTTATACTTCTGGACATAACAATGTTGGTTTGTTTTTGATGATGTCCAAAGGGGGAGAAAGGTTTTGTGTTGGTTTGTTTTGCAGGTTTTGAATGTGAAAGAAAAGGCAAAAGCAAAATGGACAAAATGGCTTGGCTTAGCTTGGTTTGTCATCATCAAAAAGCGGGAGATTGTTGAGATTGGGGGAGATTGAGATTGTTGAGATCACCTCTGAAGATTAAAGGTTTTGATGATAACAAATGTGTGGAACAAAGCTGACCAAGGACATCAACAACTTAGAAGTCAAAAACAAAGTCAAAGGAAAATGTTATGTAATAGGAGTAGTTTATAGATTGCTTTGATTGAGTTTATTTTTTGTGTGTGCTTTGTGCATAAGCTAATCTTTGTCTAAATCTGATTAGTTGTGTATGATGATGAGTTTAAAAGGTTAAAAAGTTATTTTGAGACTTAAAATAAGAGTTTTGAAAACTAACTCAAAATAATCGATTATCATTAAATATAATCGATTATTCCAACAACAGGCAAAAAGGATGCCTTGCTGCAATAATCAATTATTTGTGAAATAATTGATTATCCCAGAAATGACTCTCTAGAATAATCGATTATCCAACAAAATAATCGATTAAATTGTTCTTGGGTGATTTCCAGAAATCATGAAGAACAAAATAATCGATTATTCTTTAAAATAATCGATTATCTGGTTCTGAAAAACTTATAAATAGTTTGACCATTTTGAAACTTCAGAACAGAGTTAGAAATATATATATATATATATATATATTTATGAAGTTATAATATTTTATTAATGAAATACTTGTAATATCATGTTCATTCTTAATTATGTATATTTGTGATATATGTAATTGAGAATTATATTTTGTGTTGATTTATTGTTTTAGCATATGAGGAGGTGGAAGTTATAGTTGAGATAATTCTTAAGTTATAGAAGATGATGGAGTCAAGTAGGTGAGATGGAGAAGATAATCTTCCTTGCTTGAATCCGCAATGTATCTTGCCTTTGAGACTCATAGTCTAAGGGGGAGGAAACTTAGGACCTTAAGAGATCAAATATATCCCTTACACTATATATCGGATATTTGTTATCTACTTGATATGTGCTATGTGTCTAATACATAAATGAACTTGATAGATTATATTTGTCATCATCAAAAAAGGGGAGATTGTTAAGTCAGATGAAGCGCATTCACAATTCCCACCAAGGTTTTGAATATGACAAATATAATACATATTGTTATTACTAACATGTGCATTAGTGTTTCAGTCGGATAACAAAAAGTTCAAACAACAAAATATGATCAAGCATAATCTGGCTAGATAAAACATCAGATGATAGAAAGGCTAGTATCAAGACTAAGGTTAATTTAGGTACAAATCAAAATACAAAGTCTATCAGTAGAAGCCTAAGGCATCAGACGCAAATTGGCCAGACATCAACATGAAGTGACCATCACCCCCCTCTTGGATTGAGCCATTCTTTTCTAACATTATATTTGTCTTATTCAAAACCTTACTAGGAGTTGCTTCGTCTAACTTAACAATATATTATCATATGCTATAAAGGAATTAGCACATATCATTTTCAACATGAAATCAACAATTAACATACAACAACAACTTCCATATAACACAACCAAATTAGAGTTCCACTAATCTAATTAAACTTATCTTTATCTCATATGAAAGATAAAAATATTTTCTACAACTTTTGTGAAGAACCCAAGTTCTAATTCCATCATCTACCATATTGAAAATTGTAAAAATTGCAACAATTTGCCTAAATACTGAGAACTTGACCTTTGCTCACTAAATAGGTCATAACTGGAGTTCTAGATCTCCTTTTTAGGTGATTCTAATGTCGTTGGAAAACTAACAACCAAGGCAACAACTTTGATGAAGACCTCAAGACCAAATTCGGTCATTTACTCCCACCACTGCTACACTCATTCAACACTCCAATGCTAACCAGCCTAGCTTTTCCCACCGTTGCAACGCCCAACCATGGTTGTAGTGTTGAGTCCTAGTCATTCCAATTTTCCCATAGCTACAGCGCTGAGCCACGACTACAATACTAAGTCTCAAGCATCCCATTTTTCCCCTACAGCTGCAATGGTGAACCACAACTAAGTGTAGAATTTTTTGCATTTTCATGGCTTCCACCTTTGTTCCTCACCTATCTTTCACCAATTTTCCTCCTAAACAAGATCTACACTCATTATCTCAATTAGATTCGTTCATGCAACCAAGAAACCACAAAAGGACAACATGAAAGCATAAAAAACTCAAAAAATATCAACATGTTAACCTTTTTTCAAGAACACCAAAACCCCAAATTTTAACATGCAACCCCTTTGAATCCATCCCCATAGCTACAAATTTCAAAAATTCCATCAACAATAAACTTTTAAATCATTCAATAGTCCAATGTTTCTACCAAAATCCAAGATTCTAGCTTCCTTTACATCTTCGAAGAACCAAAATCTGCTAAGAGAAGAGAAAAGAAGAGAAGAGGAAGAAGCTTCGCTTACACCGTACGGTTCCAAAAACAAGTCGTAACTCAACAACTCAGACTTCTCCACTACTCTAACTAACTTAGTTTGAGTTGATCCCAAAAAGAGAAGAGAAAAGAAGAAAGAAGAATTGCTCCAAGCTTCCTAGCTTTGTACTTAGCTCTGAATGAAAGAAAAGAAAAAAAAAAGAAAAGAAAATTGGTTCTCAGTCTCCAAAATAGTTGTGAATAGAGTGTTACATTCCCTTACCTTGATAAGCACTAGGAGATGGACGTGAATCATTGGGGGTGTTCTTTTACGAGTTTTGGTTTTCCTTCTCATTCTCTAGAGCGTGAGAAACGTAAAAATAAAAGAACAATTGTAATCTATTTTTAAAAACAAAATCACAACACACTTAATCTTTTGTAGAAATCCTTTTATTATAGTTCTCTTTTCCTTTTCCTTAGATATTAAAACTTATAAATAAATAATATATCAAATAAACATATTTCTCCCAAATCAATTATAAATAAAATAAAATATATAAACAATTGTAATTAAAACACATTTTTTTTCTAAATAATTATTATAACAAAATATCACAAAAATCATATTTCTCTATTAAATATTATTCAAAATAATTTTGCAAATATTTATTAAAAATACTCTTAATTATTAAAAACCTCTAAAATATTTTCTAAAACTCTTTTAATTAATTAAAATAATTATAAAAAATAATCTTGATAAATATAAAAAATAAAAAATAATTAAACAGTTATATTAGTAAAAAATTCAAGATGTTACAACACTCAAAATAAACAAATATTAATTAATTGTTGTTCATTTGATGAATTAAATATAATTAATTTAGAAGTATTTTAACATTGATTTTATTATGAGGCTTTGTTAACTTTTATTAATTGACTAATACTTATTCATATAATACTTGAAGTATTGTTCAATAAAGAATAAAAAATATATTTGTAAGAATGTGTTAGTTAATGAATTGTTAGTATTTTCATAAAATAAAGATGCAAGTTTGTGAAGTTTTGCATAAGCAAGCATATATAACAATGTGGCTTCTAAGTTAGATAATAATCTATACCTATTATAAAGGGGATACAAAAATATGTAACCGCTTTTGGTCTTTACTTTTAGTGGACCATTATACCTCTCAAATATAAAAAAACAAAAAAAAACTTATATTTTCTTTGAATAATTACAAACAACCTTTTAATATTGTGTCCGTATATAATTATTAGAGGCACGAAGTGTCTCGACCCCTCTAGTAATATATAAACGGCTTCTAAGTACTAAACAAGCAGCCAGCGTGAAGGAGTTAAAGAGGACCATTTTAATGAGAAAAATTGAGATTAAATGCCTAAAACCAGATAATCACAAATTATATAAATTTTTTTTTATGTTATTTATATTTATCAATTACTTTTTCATTTGCTAAATCCATTTATATTATAAATTAAATACTTAATTTGAGAATTTTTTTTTCTCTTATTTCCTCAAATAGTTCTTTTTAATATTTATTATTGTTTTTAGAGAGGTATTTACATATTATCCTTTTAGTATTTATTCTTGTGATTAGTAAAATAACTTTTTTTAATCGTCTTAATTTTTTTATTTACTTAATTTCTTAATTTCGTATCCTTTTCGATTTACCATCTTTTATGTTTTTATTTCTAAATTATCTTTCAACGGTTTTTCTTATGTGATTAATAATTGAAAAGAACTTACTTCATAATTTATATAATTTATTATATATCTTAAATAATACTTATTTATTATAAATTTAATTTATATAAAAATAAATATTTATCTTGACAACCTCTAAAAAAAATATTTATCTTAACAAAATTAAAATACCAGATAACTTCATAACTTTTAAATTTTAATTAACTCATCAAAGTCAATTTAAAAGCATCTTTAACAACAAAATATTAAAAAAAAAACGCACCTTTTAACGTAAGTTTTTACATACATTTTTTCAATTTGTTAAAAAATTATTAAAATTATAAAATCTCGTTTCCCTCGGATCTCAATTAATAACCTTTTCTTTTTATTGCATGGATTTTAATTGATTTTAAATATATAACACATACCATGTTAATTTTATCTATATCATTAATAAAGAAGAAGATTATTTCATTTAGTATTCATAATTTTAAATAATTTTATTCTTACAACTATTTTTTATAAATTATATATGTACATTTTAATTTTTTTTTCTGTAAATTTAATTTTTATATTTTTAATAATCACTTATTATTATATAATTTTTATTACTTTTAAAATAATTCTCGGAGACACTTTCGTTTCGTGTCTTCTAAACGACAGTTTTAGGTAAGAAAAATATGCGAGCGCTATTTTAATTTACAATTTATTTACTCATTATTTTATTTTTCTGGCTCCGGTTTTATCTGGAACACAAGTCGGCGAAAACTCGCGATTTTGATCATCCGCATGCTTAGAGAAGGGAAGAGAAGCAAAAGAAGCGTTTGTTATTGGTGTGATTTTGCGAACGAAGGCAGAACGCTTCTTTGTTGTAGTTAAAGAAGCATTCGGTATGGGTCGTTTATCAGAGTCGAAGTTGGTGCAAGAGTTGGTTCTGTACGCGGCAAGCGCAGCACTGAGTTGCTTAGTCTTGTTCGTGGGCCTCCGACAACTGGACCCAAATCGCGAGGCCTCCAAGAAGGCCCTTCAACACAAGAAGGAGATCGCCAAGCGCCTCGGTCGCCCCCTCGTTAACACAAACCCTTACGAGGTCCACTGCCCTTTCTCTCCCAACACTTCAACTTTCTTGCTATTATTATTGTTACTTTTATTCTGGTTAACTTTCAATTGTTTCAATGTTCAAACTAGGCTAGTTGTTTCGTTTTCAATTGTGCTCTTGCCTTTGGTTAATTTTTAAATATTTTACACATTAATCATAAATGAAAATATGTATTTAGATGTTAAATTAGTACTCATGTTGTTAGTTCAAGTAGTTTGTCACTTGTACTTCTTAATTAAGGACCAGGGTTCATCTGGCGGGAAGGAGTTATACGTTATTAAACCAAAAAATGTCAAATTAGTTTCTTGGTCAATTGCCTTTAGGTCAATAGATGGAGAAATTGATAAAATATGTATTTGTACGGAGAGTAATGCTACACTAACAACAAAATTTGTACAACTTGTGATGTTGTACAATTTCTATTGTACGTGTAACATTACTCTTGTGAGAAAGCGTGGGCTGGGTTAACCCATTGTGATGTGAGGAATTAAATGCATGATTCTTTATTTACTGCACTTGGATGGTGTGATATATGATTATATTGTTTGGAAATTTGCATTTTGTGCCATTATTTGGCCATGAAGGTGTTTAAGGCATAGATGGATATGATAGGGGTAATGGAGAATACTATCAGATGTATTGGGATGTATTTGAATTTGTTGTTGAGGGTTTTGGTCATGCTGGTCATAGTGTAATTTTTGTGGATGTGCCACTGCCAATTAGTTACATTACTATTTGTATGTATTATAGTTGTTAACTTTTTCTTTTTTTCTTCCATTTCTTGTACAGATTAGTTTTGTGATCTTTATATGACTTCCATGATTCATTTTCTGAAGTATGATGGTTTCTGGAACAGTTTCCCATGGACTGCCTACTTTTGAACCCTTTTAGTGAATGACAGGTGCATGGGTGGGAAAAGTCTTGTTGCATGAGATTTTATTATGTATGTGTAACGTGTTGCATAGGTGTCGGTCATGTGTTTTATTATTTGAGGTTTGGATTGCTCCTTCAGATTTTACACTGAATACATTGTTTATAGGTGGAATCGGTGTTGTCAAATTTATAGAACCTACCTAGGATTAGGAGTCTAAAAATGAGTTTGTAACACAACATAAGACCCTGCCTATTATATAAAATTATATTCAAGAGTACACACACACACAAAAGATAATACAAATAAGATATAACAATAAAATTAATAGTATCTTGGGAAAATACATAATATATGTGAGTTTGTAGGGTTTTTACAAGCCTTGTAGCATAACAATGACTTCTAAGTACCATAGTAGTCAATAGCGGTTGTCGGAGCGGAGCGGCTCCGTGCCGCTTCAAAAAGTTTGTTGCGGAGCGCTTTGAAGGAGCGGTTGGAGCGGCCGCGAAAGCGGATGAGCGTGGCGGCGCGATCGCGGGTGGGCGACGGAACTTCTCTTCTTTTTCCGCCGGATCTCCGTCGATCTGTCTTCTCTAACAACGACCCTGTCTTCTCTGACAGCAGCGCTGTCTTCTCCGATGGTGGCTCTGTCTTCTCCAGCATCTACAGTCTTGTCTTCTTCTAAGAGGGAAGCAGTGGCGACGACTGCTTGAGTCTCACGATTAGAAGGTGGAAAAATAATTAAGTTGGGCCAAATGGGCCAAGTTTTATTTTATCTTTTGATTTGATTAAGGGTCTTTTACTTCATTATTTTTTTTTAGAAAGTAACTTATCTTTATTATTAATTCAGATAATATTTTAAGTAATAAAAATTTTAATATAAGACTTTAAATATTTTGTTTTCTTATTTTTTTATTTTGTTTAACTATTATAAATTTATATATATATATATATATATATATAAATTAAAAAAAATAGAATAACGGTATCCCATTATTTATTATTTGATGGAGAGGAAGACTTTAATCTTGATGAGGAAGAAAATTAAACTATAATGTTTAATTTTTTACTTAGAGCTTTAGCACTTTGTTTTGAAGACATTTTATATTATGTATTGTTTGAGTACTATGAACTTTTAATTATTAAAAATGTTTAATGCATGAATTTAGAGTTATTTTTTGTTTTTTGTCTTTTATAGATATATATTATTATTTATTAGAGAGGTCGAGGTACTTTGTGCCTCTAATAATTATACATAGACAAATATTAGAAATTTTAGAAGATATAAGATTTTTTTTATTACATTCAAGGTATAATAGTAATAAGTAATGTAAAATTATTTATAAGATTATATTATTTATCTAGTGGGGCCGAGGCACTTCTTATTGGATACTTTATGCAAAGGGGATATGTTTATACAAATCGAAAGGAACAAAAATAGTTCGTGCATATTTGTTCCTCCATTCTTTTCTATCATACATGTTTTCTTGTAAAATTATTTATACGATTGTATTATTTATCTAGTGGGGGCGAGACACTTCGTATTGGATACTTCATGCAAAGGGGTTATGTTTATACGAATCGAAAGGAACAAAAATAGTTCGTGCATATTTGTTCCTACATTCTTTTCTATCATATATGTTTTCTTGTAAAATTATTTATACGATTGTATTATTTATCTAGTAGGAAAAAGACACTACGTGTCTGCATTGTATTAAAAGAAAAAATAAAAATAAAATAAAAAAAATGAAAAGTTACTCATAATAAGATAATTATTAAAAAATAAACAAAGGATAAAATGGTCCATATAAAAATGAAAACCAAAAATAGTTATTGACAATGATATCCCCTTTATATATTAGTATATATTTATTAGTTTGAAGTTTTTAAATTTGATTAAAAATATTTTTAAAATTTTTTAAAATAAAAGGGTATAATGGTAAAAAAAAGTAGAGACTAAGGTAGTTACCGAAAAGGGTATCCCTTTATATATTAGTATAGATTTAATATATATAAATTAATATTAAAATAGTGGTTATCCCGCTCCGTGTCATCCCGCTATCCCATTTTTAGGGTCGACCGCTCCGCTCCGCTCCTCTATCCGGGATTGACTACTATGCTAAGTACCAAAGGCAAGCCCGCATAAAGGAGCACTAGATGACATTTTTAATATGAGAAAAAGTGAGATTAGGCTGCAGAAGCAGGATAACTACAGAAGCACCAGCCAATTACCGGCTGAGTGCAAACAAATTACCACACACCCAGCAACCAGCAGACAGCTAAAACATAAGAAGGTTGATAAACAACCCACCCAAAGAACATCATGCAGAAATAGATTAATGCACATTGCAGTATGCATTAAACAAAACAAAAGCAGCCGCAGAAGTTTCTAGAACCCATGTCACCTACTCAGCAAGGTTTGAAGAATAAAGCTGAAACCTCACAGAAATGTTTGAAATGCTACTTGAAATCATATTCACTTGTCTATGGTCAAATATTTTTGAGTTGAACTGAGTTTTTGTGAGGTACGTGACCCTCACAATTTTACAGAGATAACAAACCATGTTTTAAGCTGGAATTTGCATTGAATATGCCTTCTAAGCATTTGTAAAGTTGATGATTCTATAAGTCAGAACACAATTTTGACAAGAATAAGTGGAATGGAAAAATGTGCTGTTATGTCTTTGACTTAAAATATAACTGGTGGTACTGTTATTATCTTATCACTTCTATTATCAGCACCATGGTTTTAAATTGCGGTTGCGGTCGCGGTTGCAGTTACTGCAGTTGCGGGTATTGCGGGTATTGCGATGCGGATTGCGGCTGTTGCGGTGTGAGATTATTAATTATTTTCACTAAATATAAAAAATTTATAATTATCAATATATATTTTATTTTTAAGGATTTATACATTTTAATTCTTTTTTTTAAATATTCTATTATTTTAATGAATAATTTAATTTATTTTAAAATTATAGTATCAATTTATCGTATTGCGGTACATTGCAGATGTGTTGGGGACGCAACACCGTTACGTTGTGGAAAAATGTGTGATTTTCAGTATCATCGCAATTGCGGTCCGATGCCGTTGCGGACAAGGCCGCAACAGCAATATTGCGGCCGCAACACGTGTTGCGGTCCGCAATTTAAAACCATGATCAGCACTCACAATTCCAAGTTGGATTTCTAGCTTTGTGAGACACTATTCTCAGAGTTATCTGGAACTAGTCTTTTACTATCATTGACCAATTTTTGCATAAAAGAAGGAATTAGTTTAAACATAATTATATCAAAATAAATAAATTATAAAAAAGTACTAGTTCGTTACATATCCTCTGTTTGATATATATGGCCTTATTTTGTTTGAAAGAGCTATTTTCTGGTTTTCTGTATAAAAGAGGGATCAGAGTCAAGATTATTTCAAGTTTATGCCCTTTTTATTATACAGGATGTCATAGCATGCGATGTTATCAATCCTGACGACATTGATTTGGAGTTTAATTCTATTGGGGGCCTGGAAACAGTAAAGCAAGCTCTGTTTGAGCTTGTTATTCTGCCTCTAAAAAGACCTGACTTGTTTTCTCATGGTAAGCTTCTTGGGCCACAAAAGGGTGTCCTGTTGTATGGACCACCTGGCACAGGGAAGACCATGCTTGCCAAAGCTATTGCTAAGGAGTCTGGAGCAGTTTTCATTAATGTGAGGATATCAAACCTGATGAGCAAGTGGTTTGGAGATGCCCAGAAACTTGGTATGTACACATTATGTTTAGTACCTTCTATTCAATCTTCAATGATTATTTTTGCATCTGTATAACACCTCATCGTGCAGACTATTGAATTTGTTGTGATCAGAGTTGATTAGAACAATTTCAGCATTGTCTTTTTTTTGCTTGAAAAGTATATGCTAGCTAGATAGGATTATTATCAAATGTTGTCTTTGGTGTCCAATTGTTTGAGATAATAAAGAGATTTGATGTAGTTTAAACATCTGATATGAAATGAGTATTTGTCATAGAAAAAATAGGGAGAAACTCCAGTTACAGAGATGTGAGTGACTCCTAAATCCAGAAAACAAATGATAGAACCTGATCGAACTTAGAGTATCTGCACCTCCCAGCCCTGAGCCCCCAAAATTCACTCAATCACTGGTCGTCTCCCTCCTGTGTTTCTCCCCTTTTATTTTTTGTTTCTAATTGATTATGTATCTTACATACCCTCCTTGCGATGTAGGCAATGTTGTTGGTATTTGTGTGGGGATTTTAGGGGACAGTTATGTCATGTATTTGGTAGTTTTTGGTCAGAGATAACCTCTGTAGGAGTTTCTGAAATCTGAGTCAGCAAGAAATTGCTATAATTTCTGTAACATAGTGTCTTTTAATCCTATTTTATTCTTTCCAAGTTGGTATTCTAAAATTTTGGTCCAACTTTTCTGATCCAACAGAGGGAATTCCTGTAACCAACATTGTGTAAAATCATGACACATGTGACAGAGACGTTGGATGATTAGGAAGATAAATTAGAAGGGACAGAAACCACAATTGAGGCTCAGATAGGGGTAAAGTAGATGAAATATTGGCAAAAATGGATGGGCATATTGTGCTGGTGGAGGAAAATTCTGAGAAGATTTTGTTTGATATGAGAAAATTAATGGCTAGTGTGTAGAAGATGATCAAGGCAGTTCATTGCATAGGGAAGAAGGGAAAGTATTAGATTCAAGCGACAATGACATGAATGAATATCGTATGACAATTCATGATACAATTCCCCCATGGTTAGGATCCAAAGCACCATCAAATTCCTCTCCAACAACAAATATCAAAATCTAGTTATTGGGGAAAATATAAAATAAAAGTGGAATGAGAATTGGAATGGAAGATTAATGTCACAATTCATGATGAATTGATGAGTTAAGGAAGACTCATCACTAAGAATGTAGAATTCTATGATAAAAATTAAAGTAATTCTCTAAAACTAGAGAGAAACCAAACATCTGACACAAGTTTGTGCCTTACAAAATTAATCAAAACTAGATATAAAGTCAGCAACTAAACTATTTATATGTTTGATCTAAAAGCACCCAAGGCCCGGTTTCTTACGAAGTCCAAATTGACTCAAAAGTCAACAAAATGCACAAAAATAGGTGCCCCCTCCAAGTTCCATGATAGGCGTCACAAATAACCCAATTATGGACCCAACAAGAAAATTTGGCATTTAAGGCCCAATTACATAAAAAAACAGGACCCAAAAATACAAAAATAAGGCCCAAACCCCAAAGTAAAACTGAAAATACAAGTCTTTTATTTGGCTCATATTAAGCCATTTTACAATGAAATCATCAATTTCATGGGATCCAAAAGTGTTGAGCTTCCTCTTGAACTCCTCTTCAAGCTTCTTGGCCCTTGACCTTGTCATAGGCCCTTTTATTTCAACCTCTCCTTCTTCCTCTTCTATTTCCCCAAGTGCTTCCAAAAAGGTGGAACTGCTGTCCTTCAATGTAGTTGACCCTGTGCACACTCTTTAACCCAAAACAATAGTTGAAGCCATGCAGTTTACACACAGCATATAGGTAGAAAGAAATGCATTTATTTGTGAAACAAGGAGCAAAGGTTGGCGTGCTAAAATAGGGTTTTTTCGCAGTATTTAAAGGCCATCAAAGTGGCTGTTTGATTCATGAGGACATGTGGAATCAGTTACTACCACAAGTACCCAGGGTGACTATTGGGGTTTCCATGCATCTAAATTTCATTTAGGGGACATTTGAATTGTATTTGGAGGTGCACATGTTTAGCCATGCTTGGCAAGAAACATGTGATCCAAATGCATCTCAAATGACTACTAAATGAAACCTAGATTTTAGTTTCTTGGTCTATTTTAGTATTCCTTCAATATTCCTATGCTAATGGCCTAAATACAATGGCCAACCAAATACAAACATTAGGAAATAATAAAAGAAACAAAATGAGCCCAATATTGGGTACCAAAAGCCCA